ACAGTTTAGTTATCATTTCATGTTGCCATTGCATAAAGTTAGCCTTAGTAAAGCCTTAACAAAGGATATAAATTCAGAGCTCAGTATGAAAATTTCCAAGCATTGAGGTCACAGATAGAAACAGTTATTATGGCTAATCAGTGAGTTTTACCTCTTCAAACCTTACCTGGTTTAGGGTAGACTCAGAAAATGATCAGATTAAAGTCATTTTAACAGTTATTGTTTGAGAAACGTTCCCCCTCTAGACCTCTCACCATTTTTTTTCACTTCTTGTGGAAAGCTAAATTTTTCAGCAAGAGGAAGAGTAGCACTACAGTGGCAGGGACTGAGTGGCACTGCTGAGTGTACGTGCTACTGTATGGCACTGGGTAGGCAGATGAGGAGATGAATGTGCACAGTCACTGTTCACATGCTTAGAATATTATAGCCAACTTCAGGAAAACAGACAGAAGGTTTCCTTCTCACCTTCGGACAAATAATCTCATAATATCTTCATAAATGTATGCCAAAATCTCACTTTTTCTGTGTTACTTAGCTGGACTCTGAACCAGTTTTATGGTTTGGTTGAGAATTATTTTGGATCTTTGATAAAGCAAAATCCTCAGGCTTAAAAAATTCTCCTTGGCATCACACTGAAAACCCAGTGTCCTCTGATGCCTGGTTCTTATGTGATCAGGGACACTAATGATAATGACCCTTTGCTGAGTATGCTACTTGTCTAGAGGCCTATGTCAACTACACCACTACATTCAGAGTGGACAGGGACAAACTATTTGTTTGCTCTTCAGGCCCCTTGGGCCCTGTCATATACTATTTGCTCCTGCATTAAGAGGTAGTTTGATTCAGCTGGGCTGACATTTCCTTCAACTCAGTGTATTCCACTCATGCAGTAGCAGCCACCAAAGCATTAAGTGAGGACTTGAGCCCCAGCAACAATCCTTTTAAGGAGCTTTTTTGATTTAAACCCAGGGCTTTTCACATTTTATTGGTTACTCTAGAATTGAAAATGACACTTTTTTTTTAAACTAGCTTTGCTAGTTGATACTCAGGCAACACAGTCCCCTCAAGTTTAATGTGGCTATTCATGAATAACACGAATCAAAACCTTTGACTGTCAGATGATGAACAGATGATCTGATTTCACTTCCTGACACCAGAAGCATCAAATGGTCTCACTTTCCTCTCTAGCACATGAATAAGGAAACTTGATATGTGATTATTTTTCATGACTTTCTTTTCTTTCTGCTTTCATTTTAGTTTTATACCTCATTGTAATAGGACGCCCTTGTGTTTACATCTTCATAGAAGTATTATTTGTTTTTTCCTGATAAAGTTTAACTTACATTTGAAGTGTGTGTTTAATGGGGCAGCCTTCTGCTGAGGAAAAACAGGTAGAAAGTAATCATGACAGTGCAGAGTGGTTTAATATTTTTCTAGTTAATTTTCATTTATTGTTCCTGATTGATCACTTGATTCTTTCAGCGTCACATTAGTGTGATCTCATTCGATGTGATGCAGGAGTTAGTAAGAACGGTAACTTTCCAAATGTGAATCTAAACTACATGTGATACATGCTGAGCATATTTGTATGGCTTTTTTTTTTTTTTTTTTTTTTTTTTCAGTTAGTAACTTATTGACATCTAGAGAAAACAGTATCAAAAGATGGGATTGAAAAGATGTCTTCATTCCAGCTATCAGCATCAGGTTTAATCATAGAGATTTCTATTTATGTGTGAGTGAATCTCAAAGACACCCACCTTCTGACCAGGTCTAAATAGGCAGATCTCTTTGTCACAATCTCCCAGGAAATGCCTATGATACAGATTCTGTTCTCTGTTCTGCTCAAACGGTAGCAGGAATCCAAAAGCTGCAGCTCATGACATTATACCTTCTTCCCTGATTTGCTCCAGCTACTATGGAAATCTAAAATCTATACAGCATTTTAATGTTATGTTAACTATAAGGCTGCTCAGAAACTGATTCTGTAGTTGCAGACCTGATTTCAATTTAAAACTTAAATTTCCTCATACTATTTCTCTACTTATACTCTATTTATAGAGATAAGCCCTATTAGTTTTCCTGTTCTCCAGGTCTTCTATAGACCCAGGACCACAGCTGAGGAAATAGTTTGCCAGCTGTTTCTGTGGGAGAGTACGGGTGAAGCTGCCTTTGAAAACAAGCTCTTAATGTAAATTTAGGAAAGACACTGCAAAGGTAAATATCAGCTGCAGATATGACAGTGTTTTAACTGATTTAATTCTTGTGTATTTTCAGTTCATACACTGAATATTTCTGGGCAGGAAAACAAGTAATTGTCACTTTGGAAATTTGAAAGTATACAAAAATGCAGATAATATAGTCCAAGTTTTTTATGAAATAGCTGAATGGTGCCTGGCCATTGTACACAAAGCTAAACTGTTTTCTTCATATTCTATTAGTTTTCTCTTATTTAGCACCTTGAAACAAAAGGTAAGACAACACAGATTAAGGGTAAGACAAGTAGACCATTGGATCTGGGAGAAGGCTGAGGGTGCCAAGACAGGGCTGGTAAATAAATTTAGCAGCAGAAAAGAGAAAAACAATGTCTGGATCCGGAAGCCTAGCAAGTTCTCCGCTTGCTGCTCGACCCGTATTTAGCAATTCTGATGTGCTACTGAGCAGACAGCTCAGGCTCAGGACGACTACTCTCCCTCAGTCCCTCTTCAGCAGGCAATGAAAGCAGGCTCCACTTTGAAAATCTTCCCCCATCATGCAAACTGACACAGGCATGCTTTTCAAAAACCCACAGCCAATCTGTTGATCATTACTTATTTACAAAGGCCTTCGGGCAGAAAGTCCTGTAAAAACCATACTTGATACGGTATACACTAGCTTTTTCTGCTTGTGGAAAAAAGTACCCCTAAGGCTACCTCAAACCATCACTTTCTATTGCACATAAAATGTACCGTGTAACACTAAAGTATTTAATATATATGGTATAATATATCTACTGGAAAGGCATTTGTGTAGAAGTATGTTACCCTGTATTTGGTAATTTGATGTTTTGCTGAAGGCTATGACTTGAAAAAGCCTGCACCTAGTACAGAGGACCTGTCATCTCAGTACCCAAGAGCCAATAGAATAAAGAAGTACCCTTAAGCAGCAAAACTTTGACACAGCTTTGAAGCATATGAAAACAGTATAACTCCCCAGAATTATTATTACTCAAGATCAAAGAAATGAGGCATACTTTACATAGCAAACAGGGACAGTGCACTCAGCTCCAAATGTTTCAGCTCTCTCTCTCTCTTTCTTTCTCCCTTTTTATTTTTACTTCCCCCAAATTAGGATTTGGTCATGGGGCAATCTCCCACAATTTTAAAACTATAAATGGTTAAAACTGTTACTGCTAAATAAGAAGTCTGTCCAAAGGTAAGCAAACTGAAAACGATGATAGGATGACAACTGGCATCATAAAAATGAGAAGCTTGTCTGTATGCTCATTTTATTCCTCCTCATAAGCTGTAAAAAAGCATGCAAATCAGTGTCATATGGGCAAGACTGAGGAAACAAAGGCAAAGAACCTTTAATGATACATTTAACAGAAATAGATGGTCAATATGAAAAAAAAGGATTTTGGGTGCATTTTCCTCTGTGAATCAATCTCACTTTCAATTCTGTGGTCCAGACAGAAATGGAGAAGGCTTGTATAAGTTATGCCCTTAACTATATTGCTGTAACAATTAACAAATATGGATGCTCCTTTAAGTGGCCAAACAAAATTTCTAATCTACTGACTAAAATGTAAAGAACAATATTACCTAGATGTATCCAAAATTGTTAAAGGAACAAAATAATGTCAACAATAAAAGAAAAGCATGAATGATTTTATATAAAGAGATATACGTTCATATCATTTCTTTTCCTTTAATTTCTGCAAATGCAGAGCAGCTACTGTTATACATACACCCCAACCCCAAACTGTATGTAAGTGCCTGTTCATATACCTAAGTTTAAGTTTTTTCTGTATACGTATGCAGTGGAAAATCTCCACTACGCTACTTAGTTCTGGATACAATTATGGATTGAGATTCTAGGCTGTCCACTTCAGATATGCAAAATAGAGGAGGAACAGCCTCATTTCAGAAAGCTTCACATCTACTATTTGATCCTGTTCGGACTGACTTGAGCAGCCAAAGGGTAAAGTACAGTAGATAGAATACGCCATATTATTTTAATAGATTCCAATTTCCTATTGCAATTCTAGTTTTAACAACTCTCTTAGAGGAAAACTGTCCTATGGAAGAGAACTACATAGTAATACAAAGATATTACAAGTGTAAAATAATGTACATATAGCAACAGGGGAAAAATATCACTAATGATGATGTTTTCATTACCTACTTTTAGAGTATATACTACCCTTTAAAAAAATCCTTGTATTTTATAATTAACGTGCTTTTAGCCTGAGTAAAACTGCATTCGTTTTTGAACTTTGCTTTGGCAAGCACATGGATTATTAGACTTTTTTATCAGTCTAAATCAATTAACAGAAATTTGATTTCAATCGACAGGATAAAAGGAAGGTAATATTCAGGTTCATTTTTGATTGTGATGATACATCTCACATATGGCCTTAAGTACAGAAAACAGTACTCAGAGGGAATCCAACAAAAAGAGAATTGCCTAAGGCAAACTAACCACAAGAGTTCCTCTGATTGGTTAGTGCTATCATTAGTGCCACTGCTGTTTAAGAACTACACACGGGCAGGACAGGGTGACAGCTAAGACTTTAAAGCCTATGTATTTTTCAAACAGCTTTTCAAACTGTTTTTCATGACAGAATTTTTTTCAGCTCTATCATTAACTGCTGACAAGCTGACAGAATAAATACTTCAGCCTTTCAGAAACCATCTAACAATCTTTTTTTCCACTGCCTCCCCTTATTTTTTGATGTGGGGGGAGGAGAAGAGGAAGAGAAGAAGAAAGGAGATGAAGATATGAGTTTCTTACAGTCTTACCTCATCAGTTTGGGTGAGGAGTTGGGAGAATTTCGCATGCCTCCATTTCGTTGCTTTTTTTTGGGTGACAATGTTGACGGCTGCTCATCTTCAACTGGAAATATAAGGAACTCATGAGATTAAGCACTGTTCTACATGCCATATGAAATACAAGTGAAGTAGCAAAGAACACACACTCTATGTCCATTCACGCACTGATACTTCATTGCTAACATAGGCCTAACAGTAATAAAAATCAAATACATGTTAGTCAGAGAAATTGGTTTGAAGGAGAAGCAGGTAAGAGTACCAGAGTTTTTGAACAAAGGTGTTCAAATTGGTTTCAGACTTCAAAAACATGGGAGGGAACCACAGTCGGGTTATTCTGAGCGTTATTTTTAGTTAACGTGTGCTACAGAAAAGTAGGATTAGTGCTCTGCTATATTTCCAGAAAGATAAAGTACTATTTGCAATACAAACATAACAGCTGCCAGCCTGCTTTTGCTAATGAGCCAGACACCAGTTGGTTCTTGCTCCTCACATGCCAAATAACAGAGTCTTCATGAAGAGACGTAAAATATTCAATGCCTTTATGTTCAATGATTCAGTTAGTCAGGACTGTGAGCGCAGCCTGCCATTGTGCACAGATCTCCAGCACAAGTCAGACCTCATCACTCCACCCCTCTCACAAAAGGGAGTTGTAACAGGATTGAACAGAATGAGGTTGAATGGTAGTGGGGAGACAATACCTGTGTAACAGAGGATGCATATGTTATGCAATCTTTTAATGAGGATGAGGTGCACTTTCAATGACAGATCAATTTTCAGATGTAAAATCACTCACAATTTTGTCAATCATAAACTGTTCTTAGATAACCTAAGCCACAATGCGCGTTGCTTAAACAAATGCAGCTTTCTAAAACCTCCTCTACAAGAATTAACTACCATCATTACTGGTTCAAGATCATTACTGCACTTAATAATCTGCACACAAGGTTTACACTTGCTAGTAAAGGAAATTATGCTTTCTATCTCATATTCACACTAATGCTGAATTATTCTGATGGAAAGAAGGAAAAATAGACTTATTTCCTCCTATTGTTAACTAGAAAATGAACTAGAAGGTAATACAGCTGACATCTAGAAATCTGCTAAAAGGCAAGAGATTAGTAGTAGCAGCAGCAGCTGAATTAAAAGAGCTTAATATACATTAGCAGTGCACAAGCAAAAGCCAGAAAAAAATCAGTTTGCAGTGAACTACATCGGAGGAACAGCAAAACTACAAACCTGGATATGTGTCACCCTACATTTACCTGAGGACAAATTAGGTAATATTCTTCTCCTTTGGCCCTTCTCTGACAATATTTTATTACAGTCTCTGTTCTAGTCTGTCACATCTAGTTTTTAGCCATAAAAATTTATTTTGCCTTTGTCAAAACTAAAGGATTAGGCCCTGAAAAGACAGATGTGCTGTCTTAAGTGACCTGGCACTACCTAACACATCCAGGTAATTGAAGCAAACTATGGCATTTCAAATAAAAACAAAAACAAACAAACAAACAACAACAACAAAAAAAACAGCTGAACAAAAAAATGCTCCAAGTAGTTGCGTAAATGGTTGTACATAATATAAGAACAATGACTGCCTTATAATGATTAATTTCACTAATTTAACTTTCTTTTCTTCTCAGGCAGCATTCATAAATAGAATAACATCTTCCGATTTGACTCGATTTTAGATGCTTATTGATTATTAGTTTAGCTCTATTCTTTGTTTGGCTGGGAGATAGATAAGCTCATAGAAAATTCCCAAGATTATGTAATTTGAAATTTTCTCTCAGCGACATTTTCTTTCTGGGTTTAAGTTAGATCAATTCACTATTCAGTTTTTTGTAACCAAGACTGTGTGTTTTCAGAATTATTTTGTTTGTAATATCTTTTAGTTTCTGATTATAACAAAGATACAATTGATATGTTTCATACTCCTAGTAGTAATAACTCTAAATTTCACTTAATTTTATTGGCTACTGTGGAGCTACAGAAAGATTGTCATAGATTCAGTATTGTACCCTAAGTATACTGCTATATGATTTTAATATTGTAAGAAATCTATATACGTATCATGACCACCTATCATGAAAAATCTTAGAGGAGTACAACTGTAGATTGTGTTATATCCAATATAACAATATTCAATATCTGTGAACAATAAAAAGCACTAGTATGGAAGACTATCAAGTTTTCAGCTAGTTAAAGACTCATCCAAGCCTTTCAAACACTAAACGTAAAACACCAAAAATCTTTTATACTGTAAGGTCCAACATTAATGTTCTCCAGTGCTAACAGTTGATACTATTTCACCACTCAATTATAAAAGATAATCTTGGTACTAATCAGAGTAACCACACATAGATTTCTGCTGTTACTTTTGATACAGCATCTACAGTAAATAATCTCACTCTTTTGATACGTGCTTGTCATATTCAAACTACATTATGCCTGTAAAGTCCAAGGCTCGTGTGGTTCACTAGTTAACACATGTCACCAAATCTGAGATTTCAATTCATAACTAAAGTAATGCCCTTCTTAAGCCAAGAGGCCATTTATTTTTATTGCAGTAATGAAAGATAATGTATGTTAATCATATTACGTTCAAACAAGATTTTGCTTTTCCATGAAATCTGTACGCAGTTCATAGTGCTTTTGCAGTTTTAAAGATGCAACTCCATCAGAACAAGAGAACAGAATCTATGCAGCTGAAGAATATGAATGGAATGGAGACCGTTATGACTTGGTTCCTAAATGCACTGCAATGATCACTCACTTCTTAGTAATAAGTAGGGTATAAAACATATTTAATGATTATCCTTCAGAGAAAATTATATAATTCCTGCATATTTGAAGAAATAGATCCAGAAAAATTTTTAGTAAAGTCATAAAATATCATTTCAGTTTCATGGTTTTTGCCTGCATTAATTTAAAAGGGAGTCTTTGATGTGCTTGTTCTTAAGAAAGACAACCACATTTGAATAATGGGCTGTGATATATGACAACTCAACTCTGATATTCTATATTTGACTTAGTGCTTTTCTTACTGAGAATGTGCCCCCATTCTTAGTATATCTGATGTCTTTATGCTACAGAAGTTGTTTTAAAATACAGTCATATTATATTATGGAAACTTTCCTTACCAGCTTTCAGGAAAGTGCAAATAAGTTCAAGAATTGGCCACATTACAGAATTTGAATTCATTCCAGCCTCTGAGTTCTAATAAATTTCAAAAGCTTGTTTCGCACATCCCTAAGTATAAAACTTAACATAGTGCTATAACAATCCAGTGCTCACTTGTCTATCAGGCACAGAATCTAATAGTCTTCCTGAACTGCAAAACTCGGTGCTAGAAAAATGTCAGGCAAATCTAATGAGGCTTCAGATACTCTGGTTTATGCTGAAGTTTAATTTAAAGTTACGCTGATGTTTTAACATGTTTGCTTATTCTTGAGTAAAGAGAATTCATTATTTCAATGACATAACCTCCAGACAATGTTCCATGAATTGATTTAAGATGTGCTGGTAATTTTAACAGCCTTAATGTGGAGTTGAACATCTGTAACAACACAATACTTGACTTTTATTCTCATTCCATTTTTTAAAGTAAAATAAAGAGTATGTCTTTCAGAAACAGTGGACAAGCTCATAAGTTTTTTCTTTTTTTTTTCTTTTTTTTTTTTCTAACCACTTTTTTAAATAGATCTGGCTCTTTCACTATCTCTCTCAGGTCAAGAGAAGACAGCTTATAGACACCATATTTGGACCACCAAAAAGAACTATGATTGGAAATACCATTTATGTTACCAAACGTCACGCATGTAAGAGCTGGTAAACTCATCTTGCCCAGAATGTAAGCGCACCAGAGCAAATAAACCGTATGAAAGATAAAGCACAAACCACCCAGAAACATTAGTTGACTAGCTATATTGATTAACTTATTAATCACCACATCTGGAGAAACCCACATCTGTAAGCACTTAACAGAGCATTAGTAATGTCATAGTCACATTGAAAACAGACTGCAAAACCATGCACAAACCAATTGGAATTGCGTTATACATCCAACTATGGGGCTACCTACGGAGATCTTGGTTCAACCCAGGCTTTTGGGAGTGGTAGCGATATTTTACAGGCAAGCTGAGTGCCCTTTGCAATCTACAGTACGTAGATTTTCCTTGTTCAACAGAATTCAATAAATTAAGTTGCAGCAGCGAGGGATTGTTGGGTAGGAAGAGGCTCCCTTTACGGTTATTAACAAGTGGAACAGGTTCCAGGGCTCCTTCAGTGGACTTGGGACCAACCAGTGCAATAGTAGCTGTATTCTTGAATTGATATGAGCTTTTTGGGTAACTTGATCTAGCTGCATTCTTTACTTCTAAATAATAAGAAAAAATGTAAATTAATGTCCTTGTATTAAAGATTATTGCAAACCATGAATCAATTTTGACATCACGTGGAATTACAGACCTTATAGCTAAAAGTATCAGTTTCTACAGTTGAAATAAAGATTTATACCTGCAATTTTCTTTACTTTTCCCCTAAAAAAATATATCTGTTTATAAAAGAATACTTATAAAAGGATTATTCCACAATATTATCATCTTTAAGCAATAATCCCATCCTAGGGTAAGTGTGTTTGAGGCAACTCTTATTTCCCACCTGTTGATAATGGTTTTGAGATTTACTAGCTGTAGAAGATGTTTATTCCCTTAAATGACAGAGGAGGCATAATACTCTGTTGCTGCTAAAATAAACAAGGAATAATAGACAGAACACTTCAAAATAGTGCAATCATAGTTATGGAAATAATCCAGTGTTTATGAACCTACATAAAAGTAGTTGGATATTTAGAACTTCTGAGTGCTGTGCATTTCAGATCAGGTATAGAACCCCTGAAAACAGGGCTAATAGGTTTAATTTCTGAAGTATGGTTTTGACTTGAAATGGTGATTCTTAATCTTCTAACATATCAAAGTTCACCGAACAAAAAGAGCATTTAATACCTCCAAACATTTTTTGGTACAAATATGCAGCTGTGATCTTCTTCAAATGCTTGTTTCATCA